TGACTGGATTTCTTCAACTTTAGAATGGGCATAATAATAGCTCTGCAGAAGAGTGGCTATTATGAGGATTAAAGAAATTAATATATGTAATGCTTTTAGAATAGTGCCTAAATAAACTCTGTCTGCATTAGCTATTACTTTTCCTCTCCTCTTCCTCCAACTCCTTACTGTTATTAGAACTATGCTGCACCAGGGATCCTACTGGAAACTATCATCTTGGTTTGTTTTCACCCAGTTTTTGCCTTTGCGTAGTTTCTTAGTAGCTGAAGCTATACTAAAACATAATTTTGTATCTTTTAAAGTTTTACTGTATTATATTATCCATTAGTATAATTTGTAATGACTGATAAATACTATTATCCTAATGCTACTATTTAGCCTGGTGTAAGACGATGACACAATTTGGAAATGTGGATTATTGAGATGGAATCTTGCTCTGTTGCCCAGGCTGGAGTGCAGTGGTGTGATCACGGCTCACTGCAACCTCCCTCTCCTGGGTTCAAGTGATTCTCCTGCCTCAGCCTCCTGAGTAGCTGGGATTATAGGTGCTTGCCACCATGGCCGGCTAATTTTTTGTATTTTTAGTAGAGACGGGGTTTCACTGTGTTAGCCAGGATGGTCTTGAACTCTTGATCTCATGATCTGCCTGCCTTGGCCTCCCAAGGATTTTAATTAACATGCAAAATGAACATTTTCTAAAAAGGCAAACACTAAGGTTTACAAAAGAATATAACATGATGTGTTTTGGAATCCTGTTTCTGGTTATACTTCCATGTTGGCTAGCAGATTCATTTTTTTTTCTCTCAAGTACCACCTATACATCTATGTACAGGGTACGATGCTGAATGCTGGGCATATAACACTAAATAAGGGATTTTCCTGGGGAAATGTGAAGAGGCACTCAAAGTGATGCTGGGAAACATTGGAAAGAGCAATCGGCTCTGCCTGATGAAGCTGAAATTTAAGCTGATATTGAAGGGTGAAAGGAATTTGCTGGGAAAGGACGTGGAATAAAGTATTGTGGCAGAAGAGTCAGCAATGAGTAAAAACAGGAATTGGGAGTAAGCCTAGTGTGTCCATAAAGCATCGCAGTAATGCCCGTAAACAAATGCAGTGTGCATGATGGGGTGGAAGGAAGCAGGTAGGAAAAGACTGACAATACTTCTTTTGGGCCCAACACTTCAAGAGGCTTGGGCCCAGACCTGAAAAAAAAAGCGGGAGGGAGTAAATCCAGGTTTTAAGTCGGGGAAATAAACTGCTTTGGGAAGATAACATTGGTAAGGGAGAGAACGGACAGGAAGACAGCTGGATTGTAGGTACTGACATTAGTGATGAGCTGGTACATTAAAATCTGGATGATTAGAATGAAAGGAGGCCAGACTCAAACTGTTTGAAAGATGTAAAGCAACTCAATTGGAAAGTAGGGTATGATGGCAAAGAAAAGGCAGAGGAAAGACTTAAAGGTCTCCAGCTATGGATGAACAGGGATGACATTAATAGGTGAGATCATCCGGTCAGAGTATAAAAATAAAGAGGTCCAACAGTGAAACTCTGGGGAATCCCTAATCTAAGTGGCAGTCAGAGTGGGGAAGAGTTAGCAAAATGACAGGGAATAGTAATAAGCAGGACAAGAAAACGTTTTGCTGCAGAAGGGATTGTGTAAGTGAATCATTCATGTTCAACAATAAAAAGGAGATGAATGGTATGATGAATGGTAAAAACAAGTAAGTGATGGGCAGTTGTGTGACTAGCTATCAGTGACTTTAGCAAAAAGTAGTTTAAAGCTGGAGAGTGCATGAGAAGTTAAGAATTTGAGACACGGCCGGGCACGGTGGCTCACGCCTGTAATCCCAGCACTTTGGGAGGCCGAGGCAGGTGGATCACGAGGTCATGAGATAGAGACCATCCTGGTCAACAAGGTGAAACCCCGTCTCTACTAAAAATACAAAAAATTAGCTGGGCATGGCGGCATGTGCCTGTAATCCCAGCTACTCAGGAGGCTGAGGCAGAATTGCCTGAACCCAGGAGGTGGAGGTTGCAGTGAGCCAAGATCGTGCCATTGCACTCCAGCCTGGGTAACAAGAGCGAAACTCCGTCTCAAAAAAAAAAAAAAAGAGTTTGAGACAGTGATGGCAGACTCTTACTCCAGCATGTTTGTTGGGAAAAGGCATTAAGTTGGGGCAGAGCAAGGAAGGCAACTATGGTGATAAAGTGTCTTCATGATAGACATTTCAGAATTTCTGCAGAACAAGAAGCCTGACTGATGGGTCACTTTCTCTATATGCGCGCGCATGCACACACACACACACACACACACACACACACACTCACTCTCTCTCTCTCTCCCCTATAGACAGGAACCTTAGTTCTAAGAACAAAGCTCTAACCTTAGTTGGAAGAGGGTAAGAATCACAACTTAGACTTGGCTGGAGGCCTTTCTTTTGGTTTCCCACAAAGCAGTTAATAAGCAGTGTAGAGGATATATATGAGGTAAGGACGGAGGTACATGTATCCAGCTGCCCACTCTTCTACATATCACAAAGTTTTTGGTGGCCTCAGCAGTTCCAGCAATTGAAATGTCAGAAAAGTGTGGTGCTGTGGGCTTCCTTACCACCCTTTTTAAAAACCTCAGATACATCAGCACCTAGAAGTAACTTATTTCAGATGAAATTTGTTTCTAAGGAAGCCACACCACTCAGTTTAATGTCTGGGTTCTGGGCCTTGAAACTCTGGTTGTGCCAGCTCTAGGGCAATCTCAATTTACCACTTTTCATTTATGCTCATGCAGGGTCTTCTCATGGGAAGACCTGGCAGGCCTACAACATGTGAGGCAAGGCAAGAGATCTAAGGCAAGTAAGCTTGCTTTCTTTCCCTTCATTCTTTATTCTAGTATGGAGGCTCATGTTCTTGGAACACAGGTAGAATGAGCATGCCATTAACATTCCTCTGCAGTCCAGGAATTTCTGTGTTTTATATTTTTAGAGATAGGGCATTGCTCTGTCACCCAGGCTGAATTAGAGTGATCTTAGAAGCAATCTTAGCTCAATGCAGCCTCAACCTCCTGCACTCAAGTGATCCTCCCAACTCAGCTTCCCAAGTAGCTAGGACTAGAGGGACTTAACACCATGCCTGTCGAATTTTTTTTTTTTTTTTTGACAGAGTCTTGCTCTATCACCCAGGCTGAAGTGCAGTGGCACAATCTTGGCTCACTGCAATCTCCGCCTCCTGGGCTCAAGCAGTTCTCCTGCTTCAGCCTCCCCAGTAGCTGGGATTACAGGCGTGCATCACCATGCCTGGTTAATTTTTGTATTTTGGTAGAGATGGGGTTTCACCATGTTGCCCAGGCTATTCTTGAACTCCTGAGCTCAGGCAATCTACCTGCTTCCACCTCCCAGAATGCTAGGATTACAGGCATGAGCCACTGTGCCTGGCTGATTTTTTCATTTTACTAGAGACAAGGTCTTGCTATGTTGCCCAGACTGGTTTTGAATTCTTAGACTCAAGTGATCCTCTTGCCTTTGCCTCCCAAAGTGTTGGGATTACAGGTGTGAGCCACTGTGCCTGGTCCCTTCTGTACTTTTTTTGCGGGTATTTTTTAAAAGGCAAAACATGTTCAAGAGATGTTTTCGACCCAATAATCTCAACTCAGCTCATTCTCTTGATGTCATTTTCTATAAAAATCTGTACAAGTACAACATATGTAGACAATGGTGTCAAGAGGTGTTATCTCCAGGGAATCTTATCAGGGAAAGCCTAGATAAAAATCTTAAGATTTACGACACTCATGACATTTTTACTTAGGGTGGTCTTGAGATGCATCATTTGAAAGAAGTATTTCATATCTACATCATGGCACAGCAACATTAAGACTTTAGAGATTGCTTATAATATTCCATGTGGAGGTAGGATTTTGGCTGTGTCCAAAAATATGGAAAGATATATGTAAAAAGACAAACTAGTAAATCTCTGAAACAGTCTTTACATCTGGAGAGATAGAAGAATGTTTTTTAGCCAGCTGTCAAATGTCACTGGTATCTTCAGCAGGTTTAAATAAATCCTGAAACTTAGCATGGCTTTCTGATTTCAAATTTGTTGTTTCAATTTCTTAATGTTCTTCTGTGAACTTTGAGGAGGGTCATAAGATCACAGTAATACATTTTTAATCTCTTGAAAAGATAAACTTTGTCAGATTTTTAATTTCAATATGCCTGCCTTTCAGCTTAGATGGTAGGTATAAATAGGGGTGAAAGGCAATTAAGACTACCAATGAGGGACAACTATTTTAGTGCCTCTGAAGTTAGGTATCTCACATAAACTTGTGTTTCAGGTGAATAAAAGTGATGAAAATCCTTTCCTGATTTTGATATGCTTAGGTCCTGGAGCAAAAACTTGAATCTAATTTTGTCCATGCTAGACTAAGAATATTGACTCAAAGTAATATAGAAGTCAGTGGTTTCAGTGTTTTACTCCTATGTGAATATGAAAAGAAGTGCAGTTTAAAATAATCCAGCACATTGTTAGGCAACACTACTAACTCCCTACTACTTAGAAAAAAACTAAGTAGGTATTTTCCTTAGACTCGAGCATGAAATACATTTTCCGTATTTTTCATAAAACAATGTCCTTTTAATTAACACAAAACTAAAACACGTATTTTCTTGTTAATCATTGACTCAACAGCATAAACACTGCTTCAGTTTCTCACACTTACAGTCTCTTAATTTCAGCATATATCTACATATCTGTATCTATATATCTGTCCATGTGTTTACATGCTATTAGGTTATTTTTATAACTTAGGTTTGGTGAGGTCCTGCCTACCTAGTAGTGACAGAATGTAGAAGTAGGGGTAGCTCATTACAAAATATGTTTAATTCTTGTTTACTTTTGCTAATAAGTCTGAAAACACTTCATTTTGACCACAAGTTTCGAAATGGCAATGACAATGGAAATTTCTGACCATATCTTAAACTACATAAAAATTACCAGTGACCAAGATAAAAGGCTTATATTACATTTAATAGTGTTAACTTTGAAGACAATAGTGTAAATGTCAAACTTTCATAAAGGATAACCCTAAAGTTGGAATGTTTGATGCAGAAACCAGTACAAATTTTGATTCTTAGGAAACCAAGTGTTCTAAGAAATGTTCTGAACATTATATACATTAGAAAAGGGAAGATAATGTTCATAGTTGTTTGAGGTGTTGTAATACATCTACTGATATGCCCAGCTGTTTAACTAAACTGGCTGTCTGTTCTAAAATCCATGTGAGGCTTGGGTTTTCTGAATGTGCATGCTCCTGTGTTCTACAACTTTCTAAATATGAAAAATCTATCCCACTATGGCTCCTGCTACAGTTTTTGTTAAACTCAGCATTATTTTCACAGAGTCTTTCATCTGTAGCTTCATCAATCTTTTTCTCAGCTGGAACTACATGACAAAGGTCCATATCCTCAATGGAGTCCAATAAATCTACAACATGGGATGGTGGAGTGATTGATTTCAGATGTTTGAGCACATACTCTTCACACTGGCCAACTGCATCCAGAAGATTATTTATTTTACTGATCAAAGTCGAATTATTATTATGAAGGTGACACCAGGAGAGCAAAGCACTGAACAAAAATATAAACAAGAGTTAAATAGCAAAAAAAATTAGTCACAGGCTTTTAGAATGGTTGATGCTATGCCCTACATATTTCTCTTCCAGATAATACCATGCAAAAATGAATTAAGGATAATAATGCATTCAGAATCAGGAAAGTAATAATAGTAAACAGAACTTTAAAACATAAGGCTATTGTCTTTCAATAACAATTAAACAATTGGACTTAATCATAAAACTGTTTATAATTCATAACCCCTCTTTCACAACTCTATATACACTTTTTCTGATTTTATATTTTTTTCTTATGACTATGTGATACCTGTTGAAGATAAATACAGCTCCAAGAAAGAAAAACTAGTTTCTTCTTTAAGGACAGAAGAATTTAAACTAGCAATTTAATTAGAATTAGTTAAATTGAGAATTTAAACTAGCAATTCTCAATCATGGATGCACATTAGAATCACCTAAAGAGCTTTTAAACCTATCAAGGCCCAGATTATACTCCAGGCCAATTAAATCAGAATCTCTGGGGGTATCTTTTTTTTAAGTTTCACAGTTGATTTCAAGGTGTAACCAAAGTTGAAAACCATTGTTCTAAGTATACAGTTGCTTGCCATCAAGAATGAAGGTTAGAGAAAAAAAGTTTTAAAGAGACTTCACTTTCCTGGGCTTATGTCACAGAGTAGACATTGTTTGCTGAACTACTAACAATTTCCTTGAAAAAGGTAAAAATTCTTCTAGTTCTAACAGATTTAATATTATAGTCATGCCATAAAATAATGGTTATTACGAAAAGTATTTAAAAATAGAATCTATTGATATAAAAGATTCAGTAGTAGCTTTCTAAAGTTATATAACATTAATTTAACTTGATAATGTGAATATTCACATTGATTATTTTCCTATTCTAGTTCCTAATAGTTGGATTTTCTAAAACTCCAAACACAATAAATTTTTTAGTTCAATTTTGGTAACTTTTATTATCTACTTTTCTTTAAAATTAGCGATTCTTTCAAGCATTTTGTTTTTCTATACTGCAGACAGTTTAAAGGGTATAAAGCAGGGGTGTTCAATCTTTTGGCTTCCCTGAGCCACACTGTAAGAAGAGTCTTGGGCCACACATAAAATATACTCACTAATGATGGCTCAGTTAAAAAAAAAGAAAGAAAGAAAGAAAGAAAAATCACAAAAAATTCTTGTTATGCTTATGCTTTAAGAAAGTTTATGAATTTGTGTTGGGCCATATTTAAAGCTGTCCTGGGCCACATGCGACATTCAGGCCACTTGACAAGCTTGGTATAAAGCATCAAAAAGAACTAGGCTGCTAGGCTTCTGGCTCTGTGTATCATCTGGCCGCTTGGCTCTGATACATGCCATCACTGCAATGGCATCCTGACAAGTATTCAATGTCAGGACTAAAGTAAATGAAATCAATTTTCTCTTAATTACCAACTATAATTTTCATCATGTATTTCTTTGTCTAGAGGTCTGTCATATTGTGTGCAAGTACCAAAAGTTTTATTCAAAACCTGAAGATCTTTTAATGAGATAGGTAATTGTTCAGGTAGCAAAAGTATACATCTTCTTACCATTTCTTTAAACAAAAAGACAATATGTAGTTCACATATTAAAGTGGATGAACTGATCATAATTTTGACTTTTTGAAGGCAATATAATTCTATGTTCTGCGACATGCTTCAGTGGATTTAGCACTAGGAAAAGCACTTCAGTTTAAAGACTTTATTTTTACAGAAACATCTTCCAGTAGTATTGAGTGTAAAATGAGTCAGCATTTAGATTTTAAAAATTACCTCAATGTTCCTCGGAGTCGTCCATAGTTTAAAATGACTTCTGCGCCTTCCTTATAACCTTGATTGAAGCCCTGTTGAAGAGTAACTGCTTTGCCAGCATCTACTCCATCTCTATAACCTTCCTAAAAATAAATAATGGAGAACTGCAGCTGTAACTAACACCAAGTATACCACATGTAGGTTTTTCTAGAAAAGTACAGAACCAATTTAGAAAGCTGATGAATTAGGCCTTTACTGTGTTACTGACCATAATATTGCATAACAACATCACTAAAACAGACTATGCTTCTCATAAGTTTATTATTGGTTTATCATTACTTATCCCACTTTTGAAATCTAGAGTTACTGGACAATTTTTAAAACACTGATAATTACAGTTTTTAAAAAACCCAGTGTTGGGCGCTGTGCTTGCTGTGAGGTGGGCAAGCGGCGGACATGGCACCCTTGGGGAGTCTTGCAGTTCCCCTGGCAGTCTTGGTGCTGTTGCTTTGGGGTGCTCCCTGGACCCATGGGCAGTGGAACAATGTACACGTCATCATGAGAACTGAAGAGAGCTGCTGGAAAAAGATTGGATGATAGAATTTTATGCCCCTGATGCCCTGCTTGTCAAAACCTTCAGCCGGAATGGGAAAGTTTTGCTGAATGGGGAGAATATCTTGAGGTTAATACTGCGAAAGTGGATGTCACAGAGCAGCCAGGACTGTCTGGACAGTTTATTATAACTGCTCTTCCTAATATGTATCATTGTTAAGATGGTGAATTTAGGCACCATCAGGATCCAACGACTAAGGACTTCATAAACTTTGTAAGTGATAAAGAATGGAAGAGTAGCGAACCTGTTTCATCATGGTTTGGGCCAGGTTCTGGTTCAGATGAGTAGTATGTCAGCGGTCTTTCAGCTCTCTATGTGGATCAGGACTCGTCATAACTACTTTATTGAAGACCTTGGATTGCCAGTGTCGGGATCATATACTGTTTTTGCTTTAGCAACTCTGCATTCCAGATTGTTATTGGGACGCTGTATGATATTTGTGGGAGATGGCCTTTGTCCTTCAAAAATGCACAGACCACAGCCATACCCTTCAAAAAAATTATCGGAATCTGCTTAACCTTTGAAAAAACTGGAGGAAGAAGAAGGCGAATGAAGAAGATGTTTCAGAAGAAGCTGAAAGTAAAGAAGGAACAAACACTTTCCACAGAATTCTGTAAGATAACACTCTCTGGGTTTGTCGCTGGCCACAGATAAAGCCTAGTTAAATTTTATAGGTATCATCAGATTATGATTTTGATAAAAACAGAAGATTGGTCATTTATTTTGGTTTGAAGTGAACTGTGACTTGCTTGTATATTGCAGGGTTCAGTCTAGATTGTCATTAAATTGAAGAGTCTACATTCACAACATAAAAGCACTAGTTATACAAGTTTGAAATATGATTTAAGCACAGTTTATGATGGTTTAAATAGTTCTCTAATTTTTGAAATATTGTGCCAAGCAGTAAGATTTATGTATATTTATTTAATAATAACATGTTTCAAGTCAGTTTTGAAAATTGACATTTCCCAAGTATTACATTATTGGGGTATTAAAGATTATTTTAGAGAAAAATATTTATCATTTGATATAGTTTTTCTCAGTTTCACTGTGTGAAAAAAGGAAGATATTTCCCATAAATGGGAACTGCCCATTGTTTCAAGAAATATGTATTTCAGTGACAATTCCATGGTCTTTTTAGAAATATATTCCAAAATTTCCTTGTATTTTTAGGTTGCAACTAATAAAAACTACCTTATATTAATTAATTAGTTTACTACACATGCTAATACAGGATATGCTAGTGACTTCGGAAGTTTTTAAGTCCATGGTACTGTCTTGATTCCAATAAAGGCTGACTTTCTCTTGTATTTTTTCTTATTTACTATGGGTTACTTTTTTTATTTTTCAAATTGGATGACAATTTCCTGGAATTTAAAAAAAAATGTTTTAGTAAACAGCATTTTTTTTTTTTTTTTTAGATTCATCAAATTGAGCTTTCTGTGGATAATTTAAAATCTTGGCCATTCATTTAAGATTTTATATAATTCTTGCTGAACTTCTATTTGAAATTATTTAAAAAATTTTTCTTTTTGGATATGAAGGTGAAGATTCCTGATTTTTGTCTGATGTGGAAAAGCCCTGGTATTTTACATTTTGAAAATTCACAGAAGCTTAATATAAAACAAAGTTTGCATTCTACTCAGGAAAAAGCATCTTCTTGCACATGTTTTAAATATATCTTTGTCCTCATATAGAGAAAGTTCTTAATTGATTTTACAGTTTGTAATGCTTGATGCTTTAAAATCATTAACATTTTTATAGTTTTTAAGAGACATACTTCATATTCTCCTGTTCTTTCCTGACTGCTAATATTGTGTGGTATTTCATAGGTAGAAATAAACAGGATGGAACATTTAGTGTATTTTTACTCCTTAAAGAGCTAGAATACATATAGTTTTGACTTTACAAGAAGGAGAAAAATCATAAATACAATGAATCAACTGACCATTATGTAGTAGACAATTTCTGTAATGTCCCTGTTCTTTCTAGGCTCTGTTGCTATATGAATCCATTAGACTTACAGTAGTATAATGTACAAGTTTTCTCTAAAGTCCTCTCCTTTAGAATATAAAATATACTACTGAAGAGTTTAGATGTGTCACTTGTGATGCCTTAGAAAAATATCCTAAGCACAAAATAAACTTTTCTAACCACTTCAAAAGATTAAAAAATAACCAAAAACCCAGTGTTAGCAATGTCTTCACAAAATGAATATATGGAAAACTACATATCTGGGCTCTTGCCAACTGATTGGAATGGTGTGGGTGGGTGAGGAGGCATGGGAAAGCAAACAGAGAAAATCGTTTTTAAAAAAAGGAAGATGAGAAGTCTGGTTTCAGTAATTTCGCTTAATCCTTAAATTCAACTAACCTGCAAAAGCTCTGTGGGTAGTGATTTCATTCTGCATCTCTTACGGTGCCACAGCACTCAAAAGACGCTCAGTATTTACTAGTGTAGCCCCAATCTCACATAAAGCATTTTTGTAACTGACCACTTGGTTTTTGAGCTAAGCAAATTATACTTTACTGAAATATTAAACTAGCGCAGATTCCCAACTCCAGCTTTAGCGGCAATTTAATGGTTGGCAAATATATTAAGTGGATATGGACCTCACCATTTGGTCCTCACCCAGAACGAGGTTCTGAAGGCTGCACACAGAAATTAAGCTTAGTTTCAGTGAATAGTGAGACAAACTAGAGATGAAAAAATTACATCTAACAAATAAAGAAAAAAATCAGCTTTAATATTCCCTTATCTAGACACCAGTATTCCCTTATTGCCCTCTGACAGCATTCCTAAGTGCATCTTTTCAGTATGTCTTGATTAATACCACTCCTTAACTTTAGGCTTCCGACCCATTCTAGCAATTAATATAAACTGCGTACACATCCTTTGACAGCCATAATTAGTATAGTCAGTGTATGTTTCTCCCCAACTCCTTTCCCTGTGATCCTCAACAAATTGCACTGTTCAAAGTCTAGACATAGTAAATTTTAGTCGGTCCTCAGCTTCTAAGCACCCCGTAGGCGCTCAAAGAACGTGTCCTGTTGTTTCGCACGCTTTCAAGTAACCGTTGAGAAATCCTAGCAAGACGCGGGTTGGACCGCGTTCCTACGCATAAAGAGGGCAGCGCCGGGCCACGCCGGTGCCCTTCTGGACCCAGCTTCTTGACAACTCCGCGCCTCTTTCCACCACCCAGCACCCCGCACCATCCACCCACATTTACTTTGACTCGTCTCTGCATGTGACTCTGCCATTCCCGCTGCACCAGGAGCGATTCATCTGCTTCCTCGTCAAACACGTCCCCTTCGTCTCCAGGGCCACGGACCGAGGATGCCGCTTGAACCCACGACATCACCGAGGCAATTACGGTGTTGCAGGTCACCGGAAGCGTCAACGACTCCTTCCGGTCCGAAGGCGGGGCGAAGACGGCAAGTCGAGGCTCGGGAGGGGGCTGCGCGTGCGCGGGGGCGGGCTGTGGCCGGTGGACGTCGCTGCGACCTTCGCTGGCGGTGATTTTGAGATTCCCTCGGTCGGCCAAGTGCTGGTGTGCGCCTGTCGGTGGTGAGCGAGTCAGACTTTCTCGCGTGGCCGGCACGACCTTCACCTTTGCAGAAGGCAGCCAGGACCCTAGTGAAACACCTTCCATTTCCACCGTAGTCTCTACCGTGGTCAGGATTTTACACACGCGCACATTGGTAAATTATTAAAAGTAGTAAAGTTGATGGGCGGTTATCGCCCAAAGACGTTATCTCTTTTGGAATCTCCTCTGCATTTAAAGGATTTGACAAACCGACATTTTTTAACTGTTAGGCGTGTGGAGCAAAGGATAATAGAATCGGAAAGTCAGATACTGCGGCCAGTTTGAGATCAGTAAGAAATAGAGAGTATGTTTGTAAAGCCAACGCATTTCTCTCACTGATGCACAGTATCCTTCTGCCTCCCATTCCTATTCCTACGCCCTAAAGTAGACTGTTGATTTGGTAAGGGTGGGGACTTGTGTCAACACCAGCACGGTTCTGACACATAGTAGATGCTGAACTCGATCTTGGTGAATGAGTAAACCACCTGTAGTATTCCTCTTTTGCCCATTGCCTAAGTGAAATGAGTCATGTGATAATGATTTAGTTATCTAACCATTTCTTGAACACCTACTTTGTGTCAGGCACCATTCTAGGCTTTCGGATACATCAGTGAACAGACAGAAGTTCCTAACCCTTTTTGACTTTATAGTTACGTAAAATTGACAGATTAAACAATAAGCAATATGTAAGTAACATAAGGTTTGTTAGATCATAAATGAATGCTATGAAAAAAATTTAAAAATAAGCAAAGTAAGAACCATGAGTGTGTGGAAGTGGGTTTTTGGTTCACGTTACAATATTAAATCTCCAGAGAGAATTTGGCATCCCACAAATAAAAAGGATATAAACTGTAAATATGTATATATTGTTAATGTAAATATATCTTAATTAGGAACAAAATGGTAGTAAGTAATAAAGATAATGAATAAAATAGAAAACCTCAAAACTTAAATAAATAAGTCCAATTCTTTTTTGTATTATTTGAAAACACCAATGAGATAGATAATCCTGTCATGGCCCTGATTTTTAAAGAGAACAAAGTTATACGAGAATGAGAAATGAGATAACCACTGATGCAGAAGGAGATTCAAATATTAATTACCAACTAAAACTCAAGAGAAACACATTTGAAAACCTAGGAGATATGAATGACTTCCTAACATATTGACCCAAGAAGTAGAAAACATAAAGAGACTAATTACCATAGAAAAATTGGACATTAAATGTCTACTATTAAAAATGTCATGGAGACTTGGCAGTTTCACAGTTAAGTCCTTTGCAATCTTTAATGAATGATGGATACTTATAAACTATTTTTTACCGTTTTAGGGGAGAGAAAAAGTGGAAACTCCCTAAGTCATTTCGCGAAGCCAACCTTACTATAACTTTATAAAGATAGTATCTGAAAAACCCCAAAGTTCAAGTTAGCTGTGAATATATATCCAAAAGAATCTATTAGGTGCAAAAGTAATTGGGGTTGACTTTTGCACCAACCTAGTAGTACTTTATCAAAAGAATAATTCAATAGGTTTTGTACCAGGAAAGCAAACTTTTACAATATTAGGACATCAGTAATATTACATTGCATTGACTTTTTTTTTTTTTTTTTAAAGGGACTTGCTCTGTTGCCCAGGCTGGAATGCCCTGGTGAGATCACAACTCACTGCATCCTCAGTCTCCTGGGCTCAAGCAATTCTGCCTCAGCCTCTTAAGTAGCTGAGACTACAGGTATGTACCACTGCACCTGGTTTTGGTTTTTTGATTTTTTTGATTTTTCTAAAGATAGGGGTCTCACTATGTTGCCTAGGCTGGTCTCCAACTCTTGAGCTCAAACAATCCTCCCGTCTCAGCCTCTCAAAGTGTTGGGATTACAGGCATGAGCTACTGTGCCCAGCCTACATCAACAATATTAAGGGTAAA